GGTTCAATATGAGAACTCATATAATTAAAACTGCCAATGGGCAGCTGCGAGCAAGACGAGAAAATTACGTTTCTTCACAGTAGAACAGCAGTGGGCAGTGCCGTAGTTGGCAGTACTCAGCTTAGTAACGGGCGGAGTCAGACAGTCTATTGTCAATTCTACCGCCTTAGGACTTGAACCTAGCACTTATATATAGCTAGGGCTGCAATCGATAACAATTTAAGTACAAGCTATTGACCTATTGAGTATAAACAAAATAAGATATGGTCCTAACAATATATATATATATATATGTACATATATATATATTAACTATTAATCGATTTCAAAATAACAATTAACCAAATTATTGTTGAAAATTAAAAATAAAATAAATCAACGCTGTTGCGTTAACACCATTGATGTATTTTTTTTTTCCAAGACTTCAAGGATCACTTAAACCTATTTGTTATATGTTTTACTCCTTTATTGGAGACTAATTGTCGATCAAAAAACTAATCCAAGCCACCCTAAAATTAAATCCTGAGTTCTGGATGTTTAATAGTTGTTTAAAAAAATATTATAATGAAAAAAAAAGAAGCATAATAGAATATGTCCACAGGAAAGTTGTTCTGTACTAAAATTCAAAATGTTACTCGATAGGTGTTGACCACTAATACAGTAATGAATACCAACATAAGTCAAAATCAGTCGCTTCTACCAAGAATGCGCAAGTATGTTACTAGAAATCAATATCTAAGTGGTAACTATTGGTATTTTTTTATGGTCCATTCTAGTCAGAAGTTCAATATATTGTAGATTTCAGCTTAATAAATTACTTCCTCTTTGTTTTGTTTTTAGATAAGATTATAATAACGTTTATATTTTAAAAACATTTTATAAAACGAAAATGTCATACATTAAAATTCTGATAGATACAAATTACTTAATGTTTTTTTGTTTCGTTTTTTACTGTAACGTTTCAGCGGGGATGTTTTGCTTGCTTTGAGTAGCCATGTCAAGCTGCAGCTGGGACCTAGTGGCACAAAAAGTGGTAGGAAAAAGGGATAAGAAAAAAGTGGGTGAAAAGCAAAGGGTAAATCAGGGCGGAGCAGCTGGCTGCTAAAGTTTTCTCAGCTTTTATAATTCATGGAGGGGAGGGGGCGATTGATGATGGATGAAGGGCAGAGGGAGAAACCGCCAGATAGGGCTTCGATAATTCTGCCCTCATTGCCTTTCTTTCTCTTTTTTTTTTTTTCTTTTATGAGAAAAACCCACTTTGGGGCCACTCCATTCCAAGCTATTCGAATACTTTCAACAGGAAAAGCTCAACAGTCGTGCATTCCTCTTGGGTGGATACTCGTTTATATCAAATTGAAAAAAAAATGTAATAATATAAACTTTATTTCCTTTTTTATTCGATATGCATTTTTTTACCATTGTTTTATGAATTGAAATAGCCTTACTAATTTTTCACTAATTTTTTTTTTTTTTTTTTAAGCGGACAATTATTGAACATTGTTTTATTTATTTTGTATAAATAGCATTTTTTTTCATTTCTTGCACCAACTAGGTCACCCACAGAGGAATCTGTCATTCATAAAAGGAAGGAGAATGACTTGTATTTCTTCGTTACTTGATTACGGAAATAAATAATTTGTAAATAATTGATTAAAATTAGATTTTTTCAAAACGAAATATTAAAAAAAAACTGAGGTATATGCTTTAGATCACACGATAGAAGTGAAAACATCAAAAAGCGAGATTAATAATATAAAATATAAATTATAAACAATAGCTCACTATAATAAGTATGAAATGTTCAAACTTTCCAACGCTTACAGTATGTAGGTCCAATTTTTAGTTTCTGAGATATTTTAATCCACATCTTCCATAAAATTCGTTATCATTCAGTTTTCGACACTATTTTTTCCTTTTTGCCTCTCTAACACGGCGTCGCGTTAAGATACAATTTTCAATAATAGTCTATTATAGAGGTTGAATTACTCAACAATTCCTCTATTTACAGTATGCAGGCCTGATTTTTAGTTTCTAGGATATTTAAATTCGAATGCAAAAGCACTTCAATTCGTCAACTCCAGCCAACTTTACCCGAGCGTTACATATCGTAAGGGACTACAGGCGGATCTACTGGGGGAGAGAGATTTCTTTCGGGCTGAAGCCCTCCCAAAATGGTAAAACGTAATCATGTTTTATGGTAAAAAATATTAAAAAATTATGTCTTAATGTATTATAGCACGTTTAATTACATTTGATAGGACTTCAAGAATCACTTAAACACCATTTCTTTGGGTAGTTATTATCTTTCTTTTTTCCAAAGTAGTTATTGATTTATATATATAACTTTCGGGCTGAAGACCCCTCCCCCTGAATTATATCCTGGAGCCGCTAGTGTAAGGGACAACCATCGTAAGAGAATGCTTGCTTATCAATTTTATTTTTCAAACCGAATATTAATGAACATTGATTTATTTATATATAAAGCATTGTTTTTGATTTCCTGATCCAACTAGGTCACTCATAAAGGTATCAATCATTCATTAGAAAGAATAATGTCTTGTATTTATTCAAAACTTGATTATATGAATAAATAATTGATTGAAATTAGATTTTTCAAAATGAAGTACGAATAAAACCGGCAGGATCGAATTTAAGCTCGATGGCTCAAAGTATTCGGTCAGATCTCGTGAAATTTTTAGCGCAATCACTGACAAGTTATTTTATATAATGTATTTAATCAATCCGTTGAAAGGGATGTAAAGAATTAAAAAGCTAACGGCTCAACCGGTTTAAGATCTCGTGGATGTTTTAGAACGATTTGAGCTAAAAATACAAAAAAAAAAAACTAAAGATAACTTAACTGGCAGAATATCAAATTTAAAGCATATGCCTGTTAAGTGAACTTGTTTATATTAAATCAAAGAAAAAATTTATAACAATATATTTTTTTTTTGTTTTCGTTTCTCATAAATAGTTTTATAATAATGTGGATGGATGATAGGTTTATGAATTGAAAAGCCTTCCTGATATTTTCCTTAATTTTTTTTTCTGTTCGAAAATTTTTTTTTGTCAAAGAAATTTTTCCTATCCGACAATTAATGGACATTAATTTATTTATTTTATCATGCGGGATTTAGAATTCGGTAATAAGGATCATTGTGGATAACAAGTAACAAGGATCATTATTGGTGATAAGAAAATATATATGTATATTTTTTTAGGACTTTCTTCTTGAGAAATATTAAATCTGTTTCAAAGGACATTTATAATAGCGTTCAGAGGGCACAGTAACACTTTATGAACAATAAATGAAAATAAATCAAACAGCCAAATAATTTAACTAAAAATTAATGTTAATAAACAAAAAAATAAAAGTAAACTAAGCAAAATAAGAACCTAAATACATAGATAAATTTAATTTAAAAAAAAAAATATCTCATAAATTTATTTATCTTAAGGGAATATACTTGCACATAAACATCTTGGTCCATTGTTGGAAAAATTTACGTCAACAAATGTTTGAAATGTTGACTCCTAAACACTTTAAATACTCGTAAACTCCAATTTCCTCAACAGGCTACTTACGTGTTTAAGTAGATATTAAAGTATTGTTACATTCATAGGATTATTACTGTAATGTTTTTTTTAAATTAAAATATTTTTATATCAGTAATAGTGATTCGTGTTGCTGCAGAATGGATAATATATACATTTTACTTCGGGACTGATATTGGGTCGGTCAAGTTATAATTTGATTGTTTTTTATTTTAAAAAAAAATACAATTCTGACTCAATAGTAACCATACATTTTAAGTAACCTTGCAAAATAATTGAAAAATCCTGAAAAGGGAATACAAACCGACTGCTTATACAGAAGCAGATATTCTTTTTAAAAAAGTTTGCTATAAGCATGGGTAAGTCGATACCGCTCAGCCTTGAAACTGGTTTCAATCAGTTAGCAAAAGTAATTTAAGTAGTTGGAATTCCTCTCCCGAGATTGGAAATACTTTCTTTTCGACAGTTTAAAGGGATTTTGCTTTCGGGGGAAGGTGGCCTGCTTCACTATTAGCAGTCAATCAGCGCCCCTATCCGCGGCACAATTAGGCATTCTTTGTTGTAATTAACGGTCTAAGTTATTGTCGGCTCTTTACGTGCCGGGGATACGAAACGGTCGTATAAGAATTAATGCGCCCTGAATGTTAAGGAATAAGCAGTCTTCTGTCGTATTCACTGCCGTTGCAGCACAATTCAATTAAAACTACCGTCGGAATATATTTCAGCAGCCACGGACTCAATTCCTTTTTCTATTAATAAAAATTATGTTTTGTTTTCTCACTACTACTCCTCAGTTGTGTCACAATGTAATATAACTCAATATTTTTTTTTTTTTTTTTTATTTAGAAATATAATAACCTATCACGTGGGCAGTAATTGTAGTATGGTATGAACACATTCACACCATATATTCAGTAAACATAAAATTAACAAAAATAAAATAATAATCAAACAACTATGTTAAGTTAAAAAAAAAATAACCTAAAGATAAGTAAATTAAAAACATAAAAACTCAGTCATACCTATATACAATCAGGTATTATATATATACAATCAGTAGTATGTATACAATATATACAATATCTACAATATTTTTGTAGGTCATCTCTTTTATCGATTTTGTGATCAAATTATCTTACGATCCAAGTGGAAAGCAAATGGGAATTTGCGAGTTTTTAGTACCGAATTAAATAGATAAAGTTTACCTATTTCCAGATTGAAAACACCCCAATTCCAAGAGTTTTCGTTAGTAAAATAGTTGTTGGTTACGATAAGATAAAACTATTCACGAAGTTTCAGGCGGATGATAATAATTTGCACTATTCTCTTCTATGCCAATTTTTTTTAGAAATTATTGTGTATTTATACTACTTTGATAGCGCTAGTAATTTATTTCTGACTATCAAACCATACTGATGTATTTTTAATTCGATTGCTGCTTGCAGATGATTCACCACCCACGATCCTCGTCCGACTTCCTTCAGGGTCAGGTTCAGCAGAGCCCAGTGGGACGCTTGCGGTTTACCCAGGCTCAATACTGCACCTCGAGTGTCTTTTCTCTAGACAAATTGGAAACCCCGAGTGGTCCTGGACCTCGCCTTTCAGGAGCTACCTCACAGGTTAGTTTAAGTTTAGATTAAATTTTAAAATCAAAACAAATCTTCTTGAATTTAGAGCAGGTGGGTGATATCGGTATTTGAGGACATAGTATTTTAACATTAAAAAAAAAAAAATCTGGTGTGTCCACTCACACGATTTTCCTATATATTTCAAAAAGTTTTTATATCTTTACATATGTTCATGAAGAAACAAAAAAGAATTGAACTAGATACATTTTGCTGAAAATTGATCAAACATAAGATTTGAATACGATTTACTTGATAAACTAAAGCAATGTAAACCGGCTTAAGATAGATCAGTGTAAAAATGTCAATACATCCTCATATTGCTGATCAAAAACTTTTTGGCACAGCTTAGTATTGACAAACAATAATTTCTGTTGAAAGTATAGGAAATAGTGAAAGTTGTGTGATGCGGGCAACAGATTTTCTTACTTTCACTTAGTCATCTTTATTCTCTCATTCACCCATTTCTGACTCCAGGATATGAAACCGTAATCTTACATTGGAAATTTAATAGCTGTAACTTCGTTAATAATTGTCCAAAATGAACGATTTTTATATGGCTTTGTAGGGAATTTCATTACCTTTCAGACTAAAAGGCTATATTTGAAAGAACAATGATTAGAACATTCTAGGAAAGTTTCATCAAAATCGTTAGAGCCGTTTTTGAGCTACAGTCTATAGAAAAAATGTTTTTCATTTATTGCGCATGGAGCACCGAATTTCTGTCACAGCCATCAGTAGTCAAAACCCTACAAAATAAAAATGGAAGCAACAAAACCGGGTCAGTAGTTCCCGAGAAAATCTTGGCTCGGACAGACAGCCAGACAGACCAATGGCTAAAAATGTGTTTTTCGGACTCAGGAGGCTCTGAAACGTATAGATCCGTTGCAAACCGCATGTCGAAAATTTGACCCGATTTCAATACTTTCCTTACTCTAGTATAGGTAGGAAAGTAAAAACATGATAAATATGATATTTTTACCTGTTATCACATTATATAAAAATTACCTAATGCTCCGGACGGTAAGATATCAATGAGTTCATTAGTAACTTTTTTTTTAAATTGCCATTGTCTTTGCACAGCATCTTACAAAAGATAATTCAGCCGATTCTAAATTCAGAAATTATATAAGTGCCAGAACCTAAGTAAGAATCTGAATCGCAGATGTGAGAAAAACTGTCTCAGAGTGCATTTTTGAATATTAATAATGAATTATATTTTAAAATTAAATTAAAAGATTACTCGCATGAACAAAAACAACAAACAAGAAATAAGACCTGAACAGATTCCATTTTACAATAATATTCAAACGACAAAATTCCACATTACCTCACCAATTCTCTATAACTTGATTTATTATAGAGGAAAAAACAACGTATGTATATATGTTGAACTTATAAGCACTTTTTGTAGTTATTGTAGTAAATTTATCCGTGTCATTATAGTATGATCGTCACAATTATGATTTTTTTACAAATAGTATTTAAAAATATATATTAATGTGATTATAATTTAATATAATTAAGCTCCTCCAGTTATAATTTAATAGAATCTCAAGACTGAAATAAATTATGCCTCGTTGTTTTTTTCAATCCGTCTTAGACCGAAGTGAATACCCGACCGAATTTTTATTACATTCTGTTTTTCCATTTGCGAGATGAAAGTGTTCCGGAAGGATTTGTATTGTTGAAGGGAAGTGAAGAAACTTTGCTATTAGGGTAAAAGAAAAACTAAAGAAAACACGGCAAAGTAAATGAATGAGTTAGAGGGAAAAACAATTTATAGGCTAAAGGAAAACCATTTGGTTCCGTTTACTTCCGTAGTAAAGCCTAAACCACTTTACTTCTCTAATTGCTTCCTTAGCCTGTAAACAAACAGCTGCGAAAGTTTCATCTTCCAAACTTTATTTCAGATTTTTTTTTTTAATATTATACGTTTCTACTTTCCTTCCTTTGCCCCAAAAGAGAGATTATAACAAGAATGATATTTAAATATTTATTCTTTTTTTTTTCATATTTCAAAATTAGACTGTAGTATTTTTTTTTATCAATTAATTCCAAAGGGAAATTATTAATTAATATAATTTATAACATTCATTCTTAGAATATTCTAATCGGATGAAAGTATTAAAATTGAATAGAATATTACAGAATTCTTATTTTTTTAGAATGTATAGCTCTTTGTTTCCTCCAACATAAAAATGAATTGAACATTATATCGCTGCTGCTAGTGCAAAAGGTTGTATGTAACTTTTTTACATATTCATTCCCTTTACGTTAAAGGTTACATTTTGTAGCCTGCAATTGCTATAAGAATATAAGCCTGCTAAAGAAGAAAATATCAGAGGGAAATAAAATATGAAATTCTACTAATAAATCATAAAGAAATGATCAGTTTGTTTGTTATTCTGTAAAAATAGAGCTTTTATCAAGGCTACACAGTTTTAAAGCTGAAGTTTTTTATTACTTGGGATTTCATCAAATTATTGGGAGAAAACCAAAATACTACAACATCAAATGGCAAAATTCACAAAAGGTAAATGTAAAGCTGAAATCCAACGGAATTGAGAATATGAAAATATTTCATTCATAAATAAATACATAACCATTTCGGTTTCCGATTATCAATAATTAATATTTGTGTACAATTTTTTTTATTTAGAAAAATTACAATCTGACTCAGTTAAGGAAGAGTTCAGAGAATACATTTATACCATATATACAGAAACTTAAATAAATAAAGTAATAACAAAAGAATGCATAGAAATAAGAACGAAATAAAAATAAACATCAATAATCCCTTTAATCGATTTCATGGTTATGAAGATTTCAACTGAACACTATTCTTGACCAGAAATAGCGAAATTGAAAAAATATTAGAATAAAGAAGAAAATGATGTATTTTTAAATGTAAAATGCGTTAAAATGTTCGGACTAGAAACGTAAAGAGAGATCAATTGAACCAATAATTAACAAATTTAAGGAGCTATGCACTTAAAAGTGAAACATCAGTTCCTGTATATTATTATTTTTTAGATTTCCACAACTGAAATATTATAAAGTTAAATATAAAATAAATATTTATATTTTTCTACTTATTGAAGAAACAGAAACGAAATAAGAAGCAGTAGATTTAAATTCCACATTTGTTAATTCTAAGAATGTATTTCAGTAAGTAGTCTGACTACTTTGAAACAGTCAACAGATTACTAAGGCTGACAAATGGGCTACACAGACTTGAATAGCTTAGCCTACCACCGCAGGAGCTAGAAGTGCGGAGGAGATCAAACAGGACAAAGAAAGGAGAGAACCCTCTTGTTCTTAGAGGCCACAAATAACCCTGAGGACCAACTTTAATTGGCACAAGGAGGATGGGGATGATTCAGGGGCTGTCCTCGCATCAGTTGAACAGTTGCTGGCAAATGATATTGTTCTTAATCCTCTTCGCTCTAACTCATAAATAGCCTCTTCTCCCCGGAGAGGAATTTAATCTCTACAGTGGCACAACTTGCATCAATCATTTATATTGTCCTAATGCCACCTTAGCATCTTAATGAGACCATTTATCATCGCCCAGAAATATTCTAAATTATGAATTATCATCTCTTTCCTTTGGTCTCACTTAGTTTTGTTTCTTAAGTCTGTTCTTTTAATCACTTAAAACAAAAAATAATTTTTAAAAAGCAGAATTATAAATTTTAATTAACATCATAGTCTTTCATTACCTCCAAAAAAAAAAGTAGAATAAACATTTCCTCCGAAAATAATATACTTTGGCATTGCGAGGGGTAACCTTCTTTCCAAAGTCGACGGCGCAAGCCCCCTCTCAAGAAATTTTATTATTCTTCTGTTCATAATAACAATGCAAGTAGAATTTTTGGTTCATAAAGAGTTACTCTTGATTTGGTTCGTTTCATCAGGTTTCAATGTTCCTCCAAATCAAAACCACACAAAATGTGCCTCCTCCCTCAAGAATTCAAATATGTATCCTCAATAATTTTGATGCGCACCTAGCGTCATATTACCCTTCACGGTACTCCTGCGCATTATATGAGTATGATTTAGAATGTGTCAAGGTAGGGAGGATTACATTTTAAATTTGTTTCATAACCAGAACAATATGTAAGACGTTTACGTATGAGTCACTTTTATTTTCATATTATACAATTATTATATTATATCAAGAAAAAAACAAAAACTCTAAACCTAATACTACGATTATTATACTCACTCCTTTTAAGAGATTTGAAATTAAAACTCAGAAAGAAATTTAATACATTATACAATTATATAAGCCCATTTGTCTACGCTTTACAGATACACGGGACAACCAAAAAGACTAACATACGTAAACTACAGACTTTTCAATCAACGTTCATGAAACTTCGTTCATCAGGAAACGTGCATCACCAAGGCTCCCTGGTACGTCAGTAACATTACTTTAGATAAATACCTACAGATGCCAACAGTTAACGACCACATACGAAGATACTACAAAATATTCCACAATAACTTATACGGACATACCAACTCACTGATTCAAGACATGGCCACAAATAACGTGCTAATAACATGGCTCAAAAGAAGCTGGATGAGCGATCTCCTCCTCTAATTATAAATATTAAATTTATAATTACTTTTTTTGGGTAAATTTCAGATACAATTTTGGCAAGTTGAAATTGTTTTTTGCGAATTACAAAGTTTTGTACACCCAAGCAATCTATCCGAATTGAGTAAGAGTCTTGAAATTTAATGTAAGTAAAATGGGCTAGTGATAGTAAAGTAAGAGTATAGGGAACCTTAAATTATTTTTCCCGTTTCTGTCCCTTTGATACCCTAAATTCGAAAATAATATATAATGATCAGGAATAAAAGATTATGAAAAAAATCAGTAATCAAATTGATTTTGAAATTCTATTCAATTTTCTGAGGTAAATGTTAATTACTTTTAATCTCTTTTTCTAACTACATTGGGGGAAAACAAATTTTTCATCGACGAAGCTCTGCTGCTCAGTAATTCCTTTTTTTTAATCAACTCTGTTTTTTCTATATAGGAGACTTTCACTTTCTTCTTTTTCCGAAAAACAAAAAAATAATAGAGATCACAAGATTCTTCCCATTTTTTTTTTTTTTTTTTTTTTTTTTTAATGATATTTACAACTGTATTACAAGTAAAAATACATTAAGTAAATGTGTACAATAGAATATAATAACATGAAATCATTTGGTGAGAAACTACCCACTGGTAGCACTCTAAAAATGTATTTACAAAAGGAGATCTCGAGGCCATCTTCTTTTCAGACGCCTCGGAGGGTTGTCAGATATCGAAAAGGAAGCAAGGTTAGAAACGAGAGGGTTAGGATGGTTCTGAAGTTTATTATGGAAGGAAAGGTATCTGGATTGGGCCAGGTCAGAAACATAAGGAACATTAAGGTCGTTATGGATGATTTTGTTTGTGACAAAGTAAGGAGCTGTGAGGATTTTACGAAGGATTTTGGATTGTAAGGATTGGATGCGAGAGGAATTCGATGGCTTAGTGGAGCCCCATTTTAGTTTCCTTTCTATTTGAAAATAGTATCCTATAAAGTTCTGATCTTATCAACCTTGAACTGCTCCACAGCAAATACAATGGTCCTATAGTTAACGGAGATTCAAGCTCCTCGTGGAATTCCTCATATAATTTATTTCGATGTTAGAGAACAATTTTATAAATTGAAACAATACTAAATAATACAATCTTTATTGAATAAAATAAAGGAATTTATACTGCGAATTGATGTTAACGTGAAAAAAAAAAAATTTTAAACTAAAAGCTCATTCTAATTGTATCTCTTATTTATACATTTCAGTAAAATTTATAAACTGAAAGAAAAACTCTGAAATTTATTTAATATAAGCCAGATCAATATCATCAATATACAAGATGAATTGACGTGCCTTTAACACAGAAGCAGATACGAGAGAGAGAAAAAAGGGAGAAATTCCTGCCTCAAACATTCATCGAACAAAATAAAAATATATACATATACACACACACACACACACACACACCAAACGCTCTTTAAAATATACCAGATAAAATATACCAGACACATAAAATATACTATTACTCATGAATAAATTATTATTCATTAGGAAGGAAACAAAATTGATTAACTATATGAAAAATAGATCAAACTTGACGCATCTATGAATGCAATCAACTATGCTATTAATGTAATTGTGTTATATGCGACAATCAATTTTGAATAGTTTCAGTATAAAACAGTAAAGTAAATATGAAATGTTTATTTAAATTTTGTGGTCTGCTACGTTTTGTGGTGTTTAATTTTATTCGGGATGTCACTGCGTAATTATTGATGATAATTACGCAGAAATGTTTAATAAAAATTAATAATAAAAGATTAGGTAACAAATTTGGTTCTTTAACATATTTGGTCCATGATTAATTAGTTGGATTTCGTATCTCAAAGCCTAGTTTGTGTTTATCGTAATTTCTAATTACCAGCATTACCTGTGATCATCATGATATAAATAGGTGGCAGAATTAAAATAACTTTTACTAGAAAACTTATTTTATTTCTATGTTTAATAAACTATGTATGTAAATTGTATTTACAAAAAACTAAATACATGATTCAATGAATTGAATTTAATCAATGACTGTGAATTCAGATGGACTGTTTGAGGTGTTTTGAGATATATTGCCATGAAATATTATAACATTAGGATTGAGAAATACAACTTAGCTACTATGGTATATGAAGTGGTTAGGATAGTAGATTTCATCGCTGCATCTGGAGATTCGAGGTCATCTGTCAAGGTCAGGTCCAAAACTCTGCCAGGATCTTCATGGTCTATGTTGGCCCAAGGCTTCAGTTGCCAAGCTGGAAGAAAACATGAGACCCACCCTCAAGGCCGGAACTCAACATAAGACCTCTTTTCTTACTTCTCGACGTATTATATACAAATATTGAGGGTGGGGCAAGGATAGTTTCCATTAGTTCTATACTTTACCCTATTACTTCACAATAACTGGTAACACCCTAAAAGGAACCAGTTACTTAGCCCGTTACTAGTTTTTACTCTAAGCCTTCCCCAGGGTCCAGGTACAGCTCGGTCCTTACAGGTACCTGATGAGTTTGGTGTCAGGATATTCTTGAACTTGTTTTCGATCCCAAATAATAACTTTTCAAAACTTATTTGCTATGTTCAATACATAGCAGGTCACTTTAATAGTTCCCAGCTCCAAAATTGCCTATGGACCCTTTTCTGATTTAACAATTTATTTTCAATCCTTCAATTTCCCTAACATAATCTATAATTACGGTTTCCTAAAATCTTCTTCAGATTTTACTCCAGAATGTTATGTGGGTTTTTTACAAATATTTACGAACAATTTTGATCCTATTTATTGATACATTAACCACAGTAAGTAAACTAAAATGACATAAACTCATTAATATATCAAACATAGTAACAACAAGAGCACAATATTCTGATTTTACAAATGAAAAAATTCTTTGTGGTTTAACGTTATGGAATCGTCACTTAATCGCGTTTTGTTGTAAGCCGACGAAATATTTATTAGAAGCAAAATTAATTCTTGATATTGTTACATCCTTGGATTATTTCACGGAAGGAAATATATCAGTACTTTCCATTCTCCATCTTTTATAGAGTCGTAAAAAGCTGAAGATGAAGGGGTAGGGACCCATTTTAATTTACCTGGATTCCTCGGATCGCCGAGATCAAGTCCGACCTTCCATGTTACCCTAAGACCCCCCAGATGATCCGATAGCTTCCTCCAATCAGACGGAGGAGCACAATATTGTCAGCGGACCGGCTCCCTCCTCCCAGTTCCGTATCAGGGAGATAACAAAAGGATCTTTGAGAGGATATTGGAAAACAGAGTAGAACTGAGCAAGGAATGGCTACAGCTCGTCTATTATTGATCATGTAGCCTTCGTCTCGAAACTACGGTAGTCACAGGCTCTTCAAGTTAAGTTCTTCTTTAAGTTATATATATTTAAACTATGAATTAAATATTCGACACTTAATTGCTATAATAATTCATGGTCTGGCTTTAAATTGATTTATTTTATTTTAATCTTTAAAGAATGCAGTGGTTACTTTTTTTTAGTATAAAAAAAAGATAATAAAATACAATAAGTTATTATTCTGAGAGACTATGAGATCAAATGTATATCTTAAATGATATTAATCTGCATCATTATACTATTTTTTCGGTATTTAATATTATAGTGAGCGGGAGGGCCGAGCGGGCTAATGCATGTGTACACAGCACCGCATGCTGTTTGGCAACCTGATAACTGAAGCTAGAAATGATAAATTAAAATAGAGTTCGCGTCCTGATTCCGAGGGGTCTTTTGGCATTAATTCTTAGCCCCCACTGGCCCTGGCTTGGGAAACCTCCGTACAGCCTAGAAGAAACGGATG